CGCTGTGTTTGTGTTACTGTGTTTGTGACGTTGTGTTTGTGTTACTGTGTTTGTGTCGATGTGTTTGTGACGCTGTGTTTGTGACGATGTGTTTTGTGACGCTGTGTTTGTGTTACTGTGTTTGTGACGTTGTGTTTGTGACGCTGTGTTTGTGTTACTGTGTTTGTGACGTTGTGTTTGTGACGCTGTGTTTGTGTTACTGTGTTTGTGACGTTGTGTTTGTGATGCCGCGTTTGTGACGCCGCGTTTGTGACGCCGCGTTTGTGACGCCGCGTTTGTGACGCTGCGTTTGTGACGCTGTGTTTGTGACGCTGTGTTTGTGTCGCTGCGTTTGTGTTACTGTGTTTGTGACGCTGTTTGTGTCGCTGTGTTTGTGACGTTGTGTTTGTGACGCTGTGTTTGTGACGCTGTGTTTGTGACGCTGTGTTTGTGTCGCTGCGTTTGTGACGCTGCGTTTGTGACGCTGTGTTTGTGTCGCTGTGTTTGTGACGCTGTGTTTGTGTTACTGTGTTTGTGACGTTGTGTTTGTGACGATGTGTTTGTGTTACTGTGTTTGTGTCGATGTGTTTGTGACGCTGTGTTTGTGACGATGTGTTTGTGACGCTGTGTTTGTGTTACTGTGTTTGTGACGTTGTGTTTGTGACGCTGTGTTTGTGTTACTGTGTTTGTGACGTTGTGTTTGTGACGATGTGTTTGTGTTACTGTGTTTGTGTCGATGTGTTTGTGACGCTGTGTTTGTGACGATGTGTTTGTGACGCTGTGTTTGTGTTACTGTGTTTGTGACGTTGTGTTTGTGACGCTGTGTTTGTGTTACTGTGTTTGTGTCGATGTGTTTGTGACGATGTGTTTGTGACGCTGTGTTTGTGTTACTGTGTTTGTGACGTTGTGTTTGTGACGCTGTGTTTGTGTTACTGTGTTTGTGACGTTGTGTTTGTGACGCTGTGTTTGTGTTACTGTGTTTGTGACGTTGTGTTTGTGATGCCGCGTTTGTGACGCCGCGTTTGTGACGCCGCGTTTGTGACGCCGTGTTGTGACGCTGTGTTTGTGTCGCTGCGTTTGTGTTACTGTGTTTGTGACGCTGTTTGTGTCGCTGTGTTTGTGACGCTGTGTTTGTGACGCTGTGTTTGTGTTACTGTGTTTGTGACGTTGTGTTTGTGACGCTGTGTTTGTGTTACTGTGTTTGTGACGCTGTGTTTGTGTTACTGTGTTTGTGACGCTGTGTTTGTGTTACTGTGTTTGTGATGCTGTGTTTGTGACGCTGTGTTTGTGTTACTGTGTTTGTGATGCTGTGTTTGTGACGCTGTGTTTGTGTTACTGTGTTTGTGACGTTGTGTTTGTGACACTGTGTTTGTGTTACTGTGTTTGTGTCGATGTGTTTGTGACGATGTGTTTGTGACGCTGTGTTTGTGACGCTGTGTTTGTGACGCTGTGTTTGTGTCGCTGCGTTTGTGTTACTGTGTTTGTGACGCTGTTTGTGTCGCTGTGTTTGTGACGTTGTGTTTGTGACGCTGCGTTTGTGACGCTGTGTTTGTGACGCTGTGTTTGTGTCGCTGCGTTTGTGACGCTGCGTTTGTGACGCTGTGTTTGTGTCGCTGTGTTTGTGACGCTGTGTTTGTGTTACTGTGTTTGTGACGTTGTGTTTGTGACGCTGTGTTTGTGTTACTGTGTTTGTGTCGATGTGTTTGTGACGCTGTGTTTGTGACGATGTGTTTGTGACGCTGTGTTTGTGTTACTGTGTTTGTGACGTTGTGTTTGTGACGCTGTGTTTGTGTTACTGTGTTTGTGACGTTGTGTTTGTGACGATGTGTTTGTGTTACTGTGTTTGTGTCGATGTGTTTGTGACGCTGTGTTTGTGACGATGTGTTTGTGACGCTGTGTTTGTGTTACTGTGTTTGTGACGTTGTGTTTGTGACGCTGTGTTTGTGTTACTGTGTTTGTGTCGATGTGTTTGTGACGATGTGTTTGTGACGCTGTGTTTGTGTTACTGTGTTTGTGACGTTGTGTTTGTGACGCTGTGTTTGTGTTACTGTGTTTGTGACGTTGTGTTTGTGACGCTGTGTTTGTGGTTACTGTGTTTGTGACGTTGTGTTTGTGATGCCGCGTTTGTGACGCCGCGTTTGTGACGCCGCGTTTGTGACGCCGCGTTTGTGACGCTGTGTTTGTGACGCTGTGTTTGTGTCGCTGCGTTTGTGTTACTGTGTTTGTGACGCTGTTTGTGTCGCTGTGTTTGTGACGCTGTGTTTGTGACGCTGTGTTTGTGTTACTGTGTTTGTGACGTTGTGTTTGTGACTCTGTGTTTGTGTTACTGTGTTTGTGACGCTGTGTTTGTGTTACTGTGTTTGTGACGCTGTGTTTTGTGTTACTGTGTTGTGATGCTGTGTTTGTGACGCTGTGTTTGTGTTACTGTGTTTGTGACGTTGTGTTTGTGACACTGTGTTTGTGTTACTGTGTTTTGTGTCGATGTGTTGTGACGCTGTGTTTGTGACGATGTGTTTGTGACGCTGTGTTTGTGACGATGTGGTTTGTGACGCTGTGTTTGTGTTACTGTGTTTGTGACGTTGTGTTTGTGACGCTGTGTTTGTGTTACTGTGTTTGTGACGTTGTGTTTGTGACGATGTGTTTGTGTTACTGTGTTTGTGTCGATGTGTTTGTGACGCTGTGTTTGTGACGATGTGTTTGTGACGCTGTGTTTGTGTTACTGTGTTTGTGACGTTGTGTTTGTGACGCTGTGTTTGTGTTACTGTGTTTATGTCGATGTGTTTGTGACGCTGTGTTTGTGACGATGTGTTTGTGACGCTGTGTTTGTGTTACTGTGTTTGTGACGTGTTTGTGACGCTGTGTTTGTGTTACTGTGTTTGTGACGTTGTGTTTGTGACGCTGTGTTTGTGTTACTGTGTTTGTGACGTTGTGTTTGTGATGCCGCGTTTGTGACGCCGCGTTTGTGACGCCGCGTTTGTGACGCCGCGTTTGTGACGCCGTGTTTGTGACGCTGTGTTTGTGACGCTGTGTTTGTGTTACTGTGTTTGTGTTACTGTGTTTGTGACGCTGTGTTTGTGACGCTGTGTTTGTGTCGCTGCGTTTGTGACGCTGTGTTTGTGACGCTGTGTTTGTGTCGCTGTGTTTGTGACGCTGTGTTTGTGTTACTGTGTTTGTGACGTTGTGTTTGTGATGCTGTGTTTGTGTTACTGTGTTTGTGACGTTGTGTTTGTGACGATGTGTTTGTGTTACTGTGTTTGTGTCGATGTGTTTGTGACGATGTGTTTGTGACGATGTGTTTGTGTTACTGTGTTTGTGACGTTGTGTTTGTGACGCTGTGTTTGTGTTACTGTGTTTGTGACGTTGTGTTTGTGACGATGTGTTTGTGTTACTGTGTTTGTGTCGATGTGTTTGTGACGCTGTGTTTGTGACGATGTGTTTGTGACGCTGTGTTTGTGTTACTGTGTTTGTGACGTTGTGTTTGTGACGCTGTGTTTGTGTTACTGTGTTTGTGTCGATGTGTTTGTGACGCTGTGTTTGTGACGATGTGTTTGTGACGCTGTGTTTGTGTTACTGTGTTTGTGACGTTGTGTTTGTGACGCTGTGTTTGTGTTACTGTGTTTGTGACGTTGTGTTTGTGACGCTGTGTTTGTGTTACTGTGTTTGTGACGTTGTGTTTGTGATGCCGCGTTTGTGACGCCGCGTTTGTGACGCCGCGTTTGTGACGCCGCGTTTGTGACGCTGTGTTTGTGACGCTGTGTTTGTGTCGCTGCGTTTGTGTTACTGTGTTTGTGACGCTGTGTTTGTGTCGCTGTGTTTGTGACGTTGTGTTTGTGACGCTGTGTTTGTGTTACTGTGTTTGTGACGCTGTGTTTGTGACGCTGTGTTTGTGACGCTGTGTTTGTGTCGCTGCGTTTGTGACGCTGTGTTTGTGTCGCTGTGTTTGTGACGCTGTGTTTGTGACGCTGTGTTTGTGACGCTGTGTTTGTGTTACTGTGTTTGTGACGCTGTGTTTGTGTTACTGTGTTTGTGTTACTGTGTTTGTGACGCTGTGTTTGTGTTACTGTGTTTGTGACGCTGTGTTTGTGTTGCTGTGTTTGTGACGCTGCATTTGTGACGCTGCGTTTGTGACGCTGCGTTTGTGTCGCTGCGTTTGTGACGCTGTGTTTGTGACGCTGTGTTTGTGACGCTGTGTTTGTGATGCTGTGTTTGTGACGCTGTGTTTGTGTTACTGTGTTTGTGTTGCTGTGTTTGTGACGCTGCGTTTGTGTTGCTGTGTTTGTGTTGCTGTGTTTGTGTCGCTGTGTTTGTGACGATGTGTTTGTGACGATGTGTTTGTGACGCTGTGTTTGTGACACTGTGTTTGTGACGCTGTGTTTGTGTTGCTGTGTTTGTGACGCTGTGTTTGTGTTACTGTGTTTGTGTTACTGTGTTTGTGACGCTGTGTTTGTGTTGCTGTGTTTGTGACGCTGTGTTTGTGTTGCTGTGTTTGTGACGCTGTGTTTGTGACGCTGCGTTTGTGACGCCGCGTTTGTGATGCCGTGTTTGTGATGCTGTGTTTGTGTTACTGTGTTTGTGTTGCCGTGTTTGTGTTACTGTTTGTGACGCTGTGTTTGTGACGCTGCGTTTGTGTTACTGTGTTTGTGACGCTGCATTTGTGTTACTGTGTTTGTGACGCTGCATTTGTGACGCTGTGTTTGTGACGCTGTGTTTGTGATGCTGTGTTTGTGTCACTGTGTTTGTGTCACTGTGTTTGTGTTACTGTGTTTGTGTCGCTGTGTTTGTGTTACTGTGTTTGTGTTGCTGTGTTTGTGACGCTGTGTTTGTGACGCTGTGTTTGTGTTGCTGTGTTTGTGACGCTGTGTTTGTGACGCTGTGTTTGTGACGCTGTGTTTGTGACGCTGTGTTTGTGTCACTGTGTTTGTGATGCTGTTTGTGACGCTGTGTTTGTGACGCTGTTTGTGACGCTGTGTTTGTGTCACTGTGTTTGTGTCACTGTGTTTGTGTCACTTGGCTTCCTCCAGGGTCTTTTTCGAGGTGGCCAAGATCCCCCCGCTGGCTCCGGAAGAGTTGAAGTAGCACCAGCGGTGTAGCAGCGTCACCAGCGGTGTAGCAGCGTCACCAGCGGTGTAGCAGCGTCACCAGCGGTGTAGCAGCGTCACCATCGGTGTAGCAGCGTCACCAGCGGTGTAGCAGCGTCACCGCTGGTGCGTGGCGAAGCCGGCCACGAGGCCGACTCCCGCTCACGGCGATTCCCTGAAGCGCCTCTGCCCAGTGCCGTTCACGCAAACGCCACTTGCCCCGTCGGCGCGCGGAGGCTACGCCGGGCGCCTGAGCTCCCTCGCCTGTACATACCCTCGTCCGTCTTTATACATGTGTGTGCTGTGCGTGTGTCAGTGTGCGTGTGTGTGTGTACACTGTGTGTGTCAGCGTGCGTGTGTACGTGGGGAGCGGTGGTGCAGCGGTTAGCGCCACGCTGCGCTACGAACCCGGCGGCCCGAGTTCGATCCCCGCTCACGGCCGACACCGGCGGTGACGATTATCTGAGCCGGTCCCGGGCCTCCCCTAGGCCGACTCGGCCTCAAATGAGTACCTGGTGTAGCGGTGTGTAATGAACATCGCCACTGGGGGAGACAAAGGCGGCCGGGCGTGGTGCTGGCCACCCACCCCCTCTCGTGTGCCCTGCCGGCCTTCACAGGTGCTGCTCGCTGACAGCACTTGCCCCTGCAGTCTGTTAAGGCTACACGGGGGATCTTTGTCTTTTTTATCTGTGTGTATATATACATATACAGTGTTGCTTTGCACGCGTGTCTGTCTCTCCGCTTGTACATAACGCCCGTCCACACGCGTGCGTCGTCCGTGTGTGTGCCCCGTCCACACGTGTGTCATCCACACGTGTGTGTCGTCCACACGTGTGTGTCGTACACACGTGTGTGTCATCCACACGTGTGTGTCGTCCACACGTGTGTGTCATCCACACGTGTGTGTGTCATCCACACGTGTGTGTCATCCACACGTGTGTGTCATCCACACGTGTGTGTGCCCCGTCCACGTGTGTGTCGTCCACACGTGTGTGTCGTACACACGTGTGTGTCATCCACACGTGTGTGTCGTACACACGTGTGTGTCGTACACACGTGTGTCGTCCGTGTGTGTGCCCCGTCTACGTGTGTACCGTCCACACGTGTGTACCTTCCGTGTGTGTCGTCGTACACACACGGAAGGTACACACGTGTGTACAGTACACACGTGTGTCGTCGTAAACGTGTGTACCGTACACGTGTGTTGCCCGGTACACGCGTGTGTCGACCCGACGTCCGTCGACGGGGAGCGGAGGCGCCGCAGTTAGCGCGCCAGCCCTCCAGGAACCCTCGCCCGGACGAGCGGGCGAGGGTTTGACGGCCGCCGCCGCCGCCGCTGCCGCTCGCTGACGGCCAACAGCACTTGCCCCGGCGGCCTCGCGTGGGCTACGCGGGGCACCTTTGTCTTAGTTGTGCGTGTGTTGATTTTAGACGTCACTCCCTCGGATCGTTTTTACTCCTGGCCTGGCCACGCTGGGCCGGCCCAGCCGGGAGACCCACAGACTCACACACAGAGACCCACAGACTCATCACACAGAGACCCACAGACTCACCACACAGAGACCCACAGACTCACACACAGAGACCCACAGACTCACACACAGAGACCCACAGACTCACCACACAGAGACCCACAGACTCACCACACAGAGACCCACAGACTCATCACGCAGAGACCCACAGACTCACACACAGAGACCCACAGACTCACACACAGAGACCCACAGACTCATCACACAGAGACCCACAGACTCACCACACAGAGACCCACAGACTCACACATAGAGACCCACAGACTCACCACACAGAGACCCACAGACTCACACACAGAGACCCACAGACTCACCACACAAACACCCACAGACTCACACACAGAGACCCACAGACTCACCACACAGAGACCCACAGACTCACACACAGAGAACCACAGACTCACCACACAGAGACCCACAGACTCACACACAGAGACCCACAGACTCACCACACAGAGACCCACAGACTCACCACACAGAGACCCACAGACTCACCACACAGAGGCCCATAGACTCACACACAGAGACCCACAGACTCACACACAGAGACCCACAGACTCACCACACAGAGACCCACAGACTCGCACACAGAGACCCACAGACTCACCACACAGAGACCCATAGACTCACCACACAGAGACCCACAGACTCACACACAGAGACCCACAGACTCGCACACAGAGACCCACAGACTCACCACACAGAGACCCACAGACTCACCACACAGAGACCCATAGACTCACACACACAGAGACCCATAGACTCACACACAGAGACCCACAGACTCACACGCAGAGACCCACAGACTCACACGCAGAGACCCACAGACTCACCACACAGATACCCACAGACTCACCACACAGAGACCCACAGACTCACCACACAGAGACCCACAGACTCACACACAGAGACCCATAGACTCACCACACAGAGACCCACAGACTCACCACACAATAACCCATAGACTCACCACACAGAGACCCATAGACTCACACACAGAGACCCACAGACTCACCACACAGAGACCCACAAACTCACCACACAGAGACCCACAGACTCACCACACAGAGACCCACAGACACCCACAGACTCACCACACAGAGACCCACAGACACCCACAGACACCCACAGACTCACCACACAGAGACACACAGACTCACCACCACACAGAGACCCATAGACACCCACAGACTCACCACACAGAGACACACAGACTCACCACACAGAGACCCACAGACTCACCACCACACAGACAGCCACAGACACCCACAGACTTACCACACAGAGACCCACAGACTCACCACCACACAGAGACCCACAGACACCCACAGACTTACCACACAGAGACCCACAGCCACCCACAGACTCACCACCACACAGAGACCCACAGACACCCACAGACTCACCACACAGAGACCCACAGCCACCCACAGACTCACCACCACACAGAGACCCACAGACACCCACAGAGACCCACACACACAAACAGACTCACCACACAGACACCAACAGACTCACCACACAGACACCCACAGACTCACCACACAGACACCCACAGACTCACCACCACACAGACACCCACAGACTCACCACCACACAGACACCCACAGAGACCCACAGACTCACCACACAGACACCCACAGACACCCACACAGAGACCCACAGACACCCACAGACTCACCACCACGCAGAGACCCACAGACACCCACAGACTCACCACACAGACACCCACACAGAGACCCACAGACTCACCACCACACAGACACCCACAAACTCACCACACAGACGCCCACAGACTCACCACACAGACACCCACAGACACCCACACAGAGACCCACAGACACCTACAGACTCACCACCACACAGACACCCACAGACTCACCACACAGACACCCACAGACAACCACACAGAGACCCACAGACACCCACAGACTCACCACACAGACACCCACACAGAGACCCACAGACTCACCACCACACAGACACCCACACAGAGACCCACAGACTCACCACCACAGAGACACCCACAGACACCCACAGACTCACCACCACACAGACACCCACAGACACCCACAGACTCACCACTACACAGACACCCACAGACACCCACAGACTCACCACACAGACTCACCACCACACAGACACCCACAGACTCACCCCTCACCGACGTGATTGACGTTCCAGGCGAGGCATCCGAATGGGCGAGCGACCCTCCCGGAGACGATGTCCCTGGCGAGAGGGCCCCGTGGGTTGTACTGTACCGCCTGTTGCACCACGCCCTGTGGTTGTGCCTCCGGCGTGACGTGGCAAACACGTCACTGTGGTGTTGTGATCGTCACTGCCACCATCGTCACCACCATCATCACTGCCACCACCATCATCACTGCCACCACCATCAACGTCACGGCCATCATCACTGTCACCATCACCATCGTCACCACCATCGTCACTGCCACCATCACTATCACCATCACTACCACCATCACCATCATCACTGCCACCATCACCATCATCACTGCCACCATCACCATCATCACTGCCACCATCATCAACATCACTGCCACTATCACTATCACCATCATCACTGCCAGCGTTATCATCATCACTGTCACCACCATCATCACTACCACCATCACCATCGTCACTGCCACCACCATCATCACTGCCACCACCATAATGTTATCGACACCACCATCGGCAGCGCTTCCCCTAACACCTTCGCCATCTCTCCCCACTCTCTATCTCTCACTATCACTCACTATCTCTCACTATCTCTCACTATCACTCACTATCTCTCACTCACTATCTCTCACTATCTCTCACTCTCTATCTCTCACTCACTATCTCTCACTCACTATCTCTCACTCACTATCTCTCACTCACTATCTCTCCCCACTCACTATCTCTCTCCCTCACTATCTCTCTCACTATCTCTCTCACTATCTCTCTCACTATCTCTCTCACTATCTCTCTCACTATCTCTCTCACTATCTCTCCCTCACTATCTCTCTCACTATCTCTCCCTCACTATCTCTTTCTTTCTCCCCCTTTCTCTCTCCCACGATCTTTGTCACTACATGTCTCTCCATCTCTCTCTCGCCACTGTTGACTTCGTATTCCACGTTGTAATCGATGTCCCCTGGAGATGAATAAATTCTCATTGGTGGCGAGCAGAGTGGAGCCTGACACTGTGTGTGTGTACGTATGGTAGGGGGCATAGGTGGTGCATCAGCCAGTCATCTCAGTCATCTCAGTCAGTCGACCCGTGGCACCTGCTGGGTCTGCCCCGTGACCTCCTGCCAGCGGGCGTTCGACACTTCACGTGGCCTCAGGGTGCACATAGCCTGGCACAAGCGTCGTGGTGACGTCACCGCCACTTAGTAGTGAATGGCGGTTGTTGATGTTGTTTGGTTGTTGAACTCTGACAACACTGTAACTAAATATCTTCTTGTTCCTGGGTAGTAAGTCTTATTTCCTGATTGCTTATGCCTCAAAAATTACAGAAAATGGATATTGTTCTCGACAAACTTTGCTTTTGTGACCAGGACATTGACATTTAGAAATTTACCTATTTTCCAGAACATTCCAGATAGATTCAGTGCTGAGTGAACTTGGAGAAACTTCTAGTACATTTTAGAACGTACCAGTAGTATAAATAATAGTATAAATATGGGGGCCTTGAGCCCACCGGTTCAGTTTAGTTTCATCTGCCTAAGTGGATACAAATCTGCATTTTTCTGAGATGGCATCAAGAGGCTACAAGCATCCGGCAGACGTATTTTACTCTGTCTGTGGCCAATTTTATCAAGAGCGACAAAGTTATCTGTGG